TAAAAATGATCGTGTTGCACGAAAACGTGAGCATAGTTGTCTGGCTTCCCGCCTCTTTTATGCGGCAGTCATGTGATTCGATCGATACTGGTTGAGAGAGATGCAGAGGAATACCTATTGTCTGGACTCTGCAAATCTATAGACTGATCATTAGACGTTTGAGGACTGATGAGCGCGTCAGAGAATCCCTGGGTTTTCGCTGCGAAATACGCTTCCATATGGTTGTTTGTTATACGAAATGCGATCTCATTAACGAGCGACGGGCCGAGGCGCGTTTTAGGAGTGAGGGCAAAGCTATTTGTGGGCTGAGTCACAGCGCCAGCCATTGCCTGCGCCCCCCTCTCTTCCAATTCAACGCCAATTGCTGCTCGTCTCGGCTAACCATACCCATTAGTTCATTGATTCTTCTTCATTGCTCTTGCTTCAAAGAGAAAGTGTGAAAAATGATTTCGCCTTACATTTCCCATAAATTTCCCCTGCAAAGGGGCGTTTTGGCCTGCAGTTTCTATTGCTAGTTGGCTGCTTCATTGATTTTCCCTTTTGTTTTTATTTCAATTAATCTAGCAACTGCTTGCGCAAAGTAAACGAAGCTATTCCCGTTCTGCTTGATTCCTCCGCCTTAGTTCTTTCTACCTTGCCCGTTCACATTCTTCGTTGTCAATAACTTCCGAAGGGATTTCAAATATAATATTTTTTTACACTAAACTGTGGTAATTCAGTTAACATTTTTTTCTCATGATATTATGGGGTTCGTCTTACCTCTTACCCAGATATTTTTCACATAAATTTTGGTTTTGATTGAATGTTCAGTTTTATTAGACAATTATGGCACTATCGCGATAAACATGCGGAGCATTTTGGTGCAGTGCACCCTAGACACTGAAAACGACGACTTTTTGCACAAATGCTAAAGGGCGTATCTTTTACAAGTTAACGCAAATCACTCATTCGCTCTGATTCACAATCGCCTGTGAGCGCTATATGCCGTCTAAGCTCGAAAACAGCAAAGAAATGGCGCAAACGGAACCACAAAATTCCGCGGCTTCGAAGACCTTGCGCAAAAAGCGGGCTAATGCCGTTTGGACTCCAGCAACTTCGGCACCGAGCTCATTTTTAAATTACCTAAGTCGCCAAACCCGCTGAAAATATGTACACAAGGGTTATTTACCATCCTGATTACAATTATGACACTCATTCTTGGCGCTGGCGCCAAGGGATGACACTACGATTACCTCTTGGGCTCAGCCTTAGCGGAGCGCAGGTAATCGTAGTGTCATCCATTAGCGCCAGCGGCAAGAGTGAATGTCATATTCGTAATCAGGATGTTAAACTACCCCTACATACAAGTTTTTAGCGGATTTGGTAACTTAGGCAATTTAAAAATGAGCTCGGTGCCGAAGTGCTGGAGTCCAAACGGCATTAGCCAAAAACGCGTTTGCCGTGACTGACGAACTCTGCACCAAAGTGTCCCATGCTGGAACGGTAGCGGGGCATCTGTTAAGCGTGATCCTAACTCATCCTTCCTTTTTTTCTCCCCTTCCTTATTTCCCTCCCTTCAACCCGTCCGGGAGATGCAGTGAGGAAATACCTCTGCATTAGCAGTTAGACAGTACCCGGTGGGCAGAATCTAACCGTGCTGCAACAGGGTCAGAACCAGATTTTGATGTTTGTTGATGGTGGTAGTTGCGGACATTATTGAACACCATGCAGTTTTTACAGCATAGCCATTTGCGTGAACGCTATTGAATCTGAAGTGGCCCTTCTAGAACATCACATGGACTCTGTGAAAGACATTCGACGGGCCTCATCTAATCTATCCTTTCTGTCAATCAAAAAAGGTGCAAAAGATGGGATGCAACGAAAGTGCAAAATGCCCCCCCCCCCTCTCTTTTTTCCGAGCCAAACTGCGCCCCACAAGGCACTCAGGGATCTTCATTTGCTGGCCAGAGCGTTTTTTGTTCAGTCTTATTGCTATCGAGATGCTCTATAGATGTCACTGCGATCAGATGCGAAATATCCTTACATTTGTAGGAAATCGTGAAAAAAGGGGCGAGTTTTACCAAGCCCTTCATGGGGGGAGGGGGTGTTCTACAGAAGCCCCAACGCAATGGAATGCCATGATTGCGATGCTCTAGACCTCTGTATAGGCCTCTTCCAGTGAAGTTATGAGGACCACAGTGCTAACATAGTGGGTAGGGGGGGGACTCTAGCTAGCGCTTCCGCATCATCCCTTCCTCTAATCAAGACTCACGCTTCGTGGTAACTGGTCAAGGCTTCTCAGGTGTAAAAATCCACGACTTTGGTAATTTGCGCTCTGAGGGCAAGCCTTTTTGGGATGGTCTATGGAGGCGCTGACGAATGACCCCTCCTCCTCACACTCCCTAATTACGTTAGCGTCAAAACCACTTGAAAATCTTTGCAACAGACTCGGTTGTAGAAAAGCTGTCAAATAAGCTGAACGATGAGGAGAAATCAGCGCTTCTGTGTCTATTTTCCTGACCGCTTAGAGTGCAGACGACCAGAGTCGCATAGAGATGGCGCAAACAGTAGAAGACAACACAAAATAGGCGGGGAGTCTGAGATATAAATACACATTTTCATGCGAACACTGATCTATATTAGACACATGCTGTTGTGGTGGCGCTATCGTATTTGGAGGAAGGGAACCACTTCGCAGTGCCTCCGAGTCCTTCCCTCAAAAAAGATTAGGCTCAGAGCACAGACGGTTGGAGTCGCTCAGACCGCGTTCATACATACGCGATTGACGGATTCAGCGATTCCGGCGTCGATCGATGTCCATCCACTCATTTGGCGCGCAAATGCTCAGTTGCATATAAAGCCGGTTCGCCGATTCTCTCCAATGGCCGGGTCACCTCTGCTTTGCTCATCGCCCAATTCCTCGTATCGCCAAGTGTCCCGAATGGCCGGATCTTCTCATCGAAAAGTATGAACGCGGCCCGAGAGACTGTATGCTTTGCAACAGTAACCCGCGGCGACTTTGACCATTCTCTCCCCATGACACCCCCCCCCCTACAAACTACATTAGCGCCCTCTTCTTTGTTTAAATTACTTTTCTATCAGTTCTTCCGATTATCGATGGTGTTTCAGTCATCACCGCTGGTTATCGACCGATTTATTAATCTCTTCGGTTTCAGAGGAACATGCATGAATGAGATCTTTCACCAAGAATGAGTCATGGGGCGGGCAAGGACTCGAAGAAGGATGCAAACGAATTTGTTGAGAAATTCAACGAAATCATACACTCGCTATTCGAGGAGTACACTCGAAAGCCGACGGCTCCGAAAACGCTGACGGAACATCAGAAGAATGTCGCTCGTGGTCTACATGAACTTGCTACGTCTGGTGAATTGAAACTGGACAGATTGTTAGTTCTACTCTTCTTTACCACACATTCAGCATTACGGAAATTTCTACATTTCTTCTACACTTCATTGCCGAAGTATCTGTAGTAGATTAGTTAAACTCATGTAAATGTATATGCACGGCGCATTCCTGTTGAGGCGGTTACCACTGAGCACACCTAGTGATATACGTTTCTAGAATTAATTTTTTACAATTTAAGGGCTGCTGAGACAACTTCACTATGCGATGCGTTCATTAACAACTGGGAAGCCACCGGCATCAAGTCCGCCGCCGTTCAGCAACTTATCGCCCTACTGAACCGACCTCATATCCGGGTAAAAACTCCCACTTACTCGT